TTTGGTGTTTTACACTGCAACTTTGGGTGTTTTACACTGCAACTTTTGCTGTGTTTTACACTGCAACTTTTGCTGTGTTTTACACTGCAACTTTTGGTGTTTTACACTGCAACTTTGGCTGTGTTTTACACTGCAACTTTTGCTGTGTTTTACACTGCAACTTTGGCTGTGTTTTACACTGCAACTTTTGCTGTGTTTTACACTGCAACTTTTGCTGTGTGGAAAACTTACACCCCTCCCCTTTTATAATGGACGGTCCCCCTGTCAGGTCAAAGGTGACAACGATGGCATGCAAACTACGTCGACTGAGTTATCCTTTTCGTGCATAAGTTTTTTAGAGGAAAAGCTTGGCTACGTTGTGACGTTAGTTTTTTTCTAAAGGTTTTTCTAGCTTTGGCCTATAGATCGGGATAAATTTAAAAATGTTTCGACCAGGTCCAATGATTACAAATTATGTTGCTATCTAGTGAATGTTGGTAACGTTTGCACCGCTACGTGTTGATGTCGACGCATGGTATGATAGAAATGATGTCTGTCTGAAGGCGTAAATATGTAATTAGCTTAAACTATCGTGGCATGATGTCATAAACGCTTGCATGCGGCGATATTCGTCTTCCACGTTTCCCCGCCTTTGAGTCACGTGACATTTTCTAGCTAGAGAATTCGGACTCGCAAGGTCGCTAATAATTTGATGAGTAAATATTGGGCCTATGGGAGTCAAATGTGGCACCACTTGGTACTATGAAGCAATAAAGACTTATTTTCAATTATGAAGTGTTGACTCTTGACTCAGGTAAGTTATCGATCATTAGGGAACAATACGAGCGATCGCCATGACGTCACCGTGGGCAAAAAGTGGGTGCCAGTTGGCTGATTTGCCTACCAAGAATTTGCATATGTCTTCAAATAATTTGCATGCGTATAATATAAACAAAAACAGCGATCGCTCGTATACAAATGTAGACACTGTGACTCTAACACTCTGTTAGGCCGCCGCCATCTTTGTCACCTTTGACCTGACAGGGGGACCGTCCATTATAAAAGGGGAGGGGTGTAAGTTTTCCACACAGCAAAAGTTGCAGTATAAAACACAGCAAAAGTTGCAGTGTAAAACACCAAAAGTTGCAGTGTAAAACACAGCAAAAGTTGCAGTGTAAAACACAGCAAAAGTTGCAGTGTAAAACACAGCAAAAGTTGCAGTGTAAAACACCCAAAGTTGCAGTGTAAAACACCAAAAGTTGCAGTGTAAAACACCAAAACTTGCGGTGTAAAACACCAAAACTTGCGGTGTAAAATTTTGTTCTTGTCGGCCACGGTAAAAATGGGTTAATATTGATAACAACAAGGAGAGGACAGTGGAAAACTTTGCGGAAACTCTAACACACAACCAGGAGGGATGGAGACAGACAGTTAGACACACTCCACCAGCGCCCCCACGTCCCTGATTTGGGTTACGTGTCCAAGGTACAAGGTACATGTACATTGTACCTCATGACTATCTACTCCCTCCCCAGGTGTGTAACGGCGTGTTCGCCCGGCCCTACGTTCCCGACGTGCCTGGTCTGTCGGACTTCGCAGGTGTCACCATGCACAGTCAGGAGTACCGGACTGCCCAACAGTTCGCCGGGAAGAAAGTTATTGTTGTTGGTGAGTTATCATCTTCCCCACGAGCCATGTTTTTATTATTATTTGATTATATGGATGACATCCACGCGGGCATGAATTTTCGTCCGTTTCCAAAAAGTACAAAAGTTTTTCGCCATACTGTAAATCGTACAAAGTAGCTGCAAAAGAAGCATATATATGCCGTAAACTGCAAAAAAAGTGGAAAACGATTCTAATGTCATAGAATGCCAAAATAAATTTCACAGGAAAAGAAGAAAATGTGAAGAAGTGAAAATGAAGAGTCTGCTATCCACCATATCATACTCGTGCGTTTGTTCAACCGTCAGGACCACATAGATGTCATAATGAAGGCAACTTTGTTTGTCTCCACGTCTGTACATGTGGGTTATCTAATACCAGTTAACACTGCCTTGATAACCTGTGTCTTGACCTGTTGTCAATGTCAATAAAGAAAGAAAGAAAGAAAGAAAGAACTTTTTCCAAAACTTTTCGCACGCTCGCGTCAGTTTTGGGGTTCCCAGTGGATGTCATCCATATAATCAAATCAACATGGCCTTCCATAGCCAGATTGATATTCTCTTCTTACTTTTAACTCTACCCAAATGACCTTAGATAACCTCTCACGATTCTGTCTCCAGGGGCGGGAAACTCTGCAGGTGACGTGGCGGCGGACATCGCTCAGGTAGCGTCACAGGTGAGAGCTGATGACTCTGCTGTCCGATCGTCCCCCTGATTCCTACTTTTTCTCTTCCCTTTGCCAAACCTGCCCAATAAGGTATGACATATGGCAACATTTTAGTCCTATGCCTCTCGGACATAACATCTGCATCATAAGCTGCTTATGATCGCAGTTTAACAAGTGCTTAATGTGTGGCTCTCCTTAAACATGGCTTTACGTCCTGTCCGAGAGGACGTCCCTAACCGAAACTAGGTAGTCATACACCTACGTCAAGTTATGGGATAATAGTGGGGCCTGCTAGAGGTCCGAACCCAGAACCTTTGGATTCAACAACCCTAACCACAAGACCATCTTGCCACCTTTCCATAGCTAGTCCATTCTTATCTAAAGGACGTGAGTGTTCGGCAGATATTTCGTGTAAGACATCACAAAATCGCCGGTGCGCGCAGCCAGGCACGCGGAGCCATGCTTACTCCCCCACCCTGTTCCCCAGGTGTACCTGAGCCTGAGGGACGGTGCCTGGGTTCTCCCCCGCCTGGCTCAGGCCGGGATGCCGCGGGACATGCTGCTGCGCCGGGTCCTGATGAACATGCCCGACTTCATCGTCAACAAAATCATCAGGCGCGAGGCGAACGCCAGAGTGTGTCATGACAACTACGGGCTGACGTGTCCGGCTGAACCGCTCAATCATTTAATCATGGTCAACGACGAAATAGGTTACAGACTGACTACTGGGCAGGTAGGTTTGTACAGTCAAACTTAGCTTGCTCGAGCGACCTCTATAAACCGGCCCAGCCCTTTGTCCATAATGATCCCGACGAGGCAAGGAACTCGAGGATAAAGTTTGGTATGCCCTGATATAGCCCGTCTCAACCGGGACGGAGGGCGGTACCGACTTCCAATGAACTTTGACCCAGTGCTGGCGTCACACGTGGGAAAAATCACGTGTCTACAGCACTTCGGTCAGAAAGCTAATGAAGACCATGAAGACCGAGCGATTCGGTTGAAAATTCCATTGAGTTTATATAAATTCTTTGCCGTGTTAGAGAACAGTTTAATTCCCATTCATGTATTTTACCTACTCAGATGAACTTTCATGCCAAGATTTTTTCCATTAAAATATGCTTCAGTTTTTGGTGCAAAAAAAACGATGCCTCATTTAATAGGTCATCGCGAAGCCCCAGCTCTCCCGATTGACCCAGCACGCTGCTCGGTTCGCGGACGGTAGTACAGTGGACGGACTGGACGCTGTGGTGTTCGCCACGGGCTTCAACCTGGCGTTTCCCTTCATCGACGAGTCCATCCTTCCTAGTAAGTCCTGTGCATAATTTTTAGCCAGCCACTCAGTACAGGGCAGCCTAAGCTTAGCAATGGTCCCATGACGTTACCTTGTGGAACTCCAGACGCTACTGGACACTACTTAAGCAAACACATCTTATAATTATCAAGCGGACTTTATATAAGGTGGTTGCGCCGTATGTTTATTCTACTTTCATCTGTGTCTCAATTCAATAAAGCATGATAGGTGGCATTTGAAAGCTTCAAAAGCGGACATAGCCGAGACACAATGCAAGCTTGGAAAATTAATCAGTTTATCCTGTTCCCCCTCAGGTAAGAAAGAGGACCTGAACTTGTACAAGATGGTGTTCCCCGCGGAGCTCACAAAACCCACCCTGTCTGTGATTGGCTGCCTGTCGTCCAATGGGCCGCATCCTCCTATCGACGAACTACAGGCCCGCTGGGCCGTCAGGGTGTTCTTGGTAAGGCTATGTTGATTTGATTATATAAATGACATCCTGTGGGAACCTCAAAAATGATGCGAGCGTGCGAATAAAAAAATTGCCAAAAAATGCCATCATTATGTTCGTGAAGGTTGAACAAATGACATATATATGTCGAATTATAGACTCTTTAATTTTCATTTCTTTACATTCTCTTAATGACCTTCCTTTCCTTTCCTTTCCTTTCCTTTCCTTTCCTTTCCTTTCCTTTCCTTTCCTTTCCTTTCCTTTCCTT